AAATATATTGATTGATTGATTCTAAGGTATAATGGAAATAAAAGTCAATGAATAATGAGAGTGGTTCTTTTTTAACTAACAATAATGAAAGTGATTTGGAGTGTTTGCGCACAAAAGTTTCAAATAACACACTAAAAAGTATTGATCTAAAAAAAAATTAATATATAATTTAAACTCTAAATCATTTTGACAAAAAAAAACTTGAACTACAAATTCAAAAAAGATTTGAAATTTAAATTTTGAAAAAATACATTATGAGCTCTAAACAATTAAAATTAATGCAATTTCAACTTTACCTTTAAATTTTAACAAGCATTCATTAAATTAAGATCTCATGTATAATTTTTACTAAATTTTACTCTTCCTTTCTTCTATCAACATTTGGTGAAAATTAATTTTAGGTCTTAATTTAATAGATGTTTATCTAAATTTAATGGTGGGGTGAAATTGCCCAAACTTTAATTGTTTAGAATTTATAATGTACTTTTTAAAAATTTAAAATTTAAATCACTTCTAAACTTATAATTCAAGATTTTAATTACATATTAACTCTTAAAAAATTGCTTAAATATAAAGTATTTAATTCCAATATTTTAAAATATCTTGAAAAAGTCACTTCAATTGGACTTGGTTTTGATCAACGACGCTGTTTTTTACTTTTGTCCTGTAACTTTGCAAAACAAAAGTAATGCAACAATTGTTAAAGGTAAATTGTGTGTTTTTTTTTTTTTAAAAAAAAAACCTTCGTTAACTGAAAATTGATACGCCTAAAACTATTTTGATAAAACCATTAAAGATGGGTCAAATTAATAAAAATTTAATATATAATTCATAAAATCAATCAATCAGTTAACTATCAATTATATTATACGAATGTCGTAGCAAGCAGGTGGAAAATTCATTCACTTTCATTGATTTATATACCTTGGTTACATTTCAATACTCCTCTCTCAATTGGTCAATTCATTGTAAATGCATATATCCCTCATAATTTATTAGCATCATTTGTTTGACAATTATAAAAATAAATGCTAATAAATAATTTAATAGCATTTATTGCTTAAAAATGTAATTAATATTTTCAAAATCACTGTAACTTGTGTTTTGTATACAACCATTTATAATTGATAATTATAGTTTAAGAAATTCTAATTAGTGTGACTAACAACTGAAAAATCTAATGACGATATTATTATTAAAAATCATTAATTGATAGTAATGACATTAAATTAATATTGATGACATTTGGCCAAAAAATTAATATTAATGATGTCAGTACTCATTTCCCACTATTTTATTTTGAAAATTTCATTTAATATTCATAAGTTTTCCTTGAATGTAATAAATAACTCTACAGTCAACATTTATCCTTGGTAAATTTTCTTCCATTCAACCATGATCTATGATAAAATCCCCTCATTTGCGGTCCTATCAATGATTCGCTTATTATTCTGAAATAAATTTCGCTCCATCATTCCCAAAGCAAAATTCCTCATATGTAGCTTGTTTTTTACAAGTTTGATTAATTATAACAAAAAAAAAACAAAGTATAAAAATGCAAGGGACCCTTCTCCTATCAATGAGTGCCACTATTTCATTTTAGTTGTGCTAATATTCATCTGTGACACTGCTATGGCTGAAGATCTTTCCTTCGACAAGTATGACTACTTAAGTGACATCAATGATTCTCACAAAACATGGTGTGTTGTTGTGAGAGTGTTGAGAAAGTGGCATTTGAAACATAAAAATCTACCATATGACACTTGGAACATATGTTTCTTGCTTATTAATGAGAAGGTATTCATACATTATAGATGTTTTCGCTTTCTTTTTCAGTTAAACTAATAGTTATCATAATTTTCATTGTTATGTTCAGGGAGTACAAATCCAAGCATCTATCCAAACCAAGAATCAAGTTCAACAATTTAAAGCTGAACTTGTCGAAGGAAAAGTGTACTTTATAAAAATTTTTGAAGTTCTGCCTAATAACGAGGACAACAAGGCTACTGCACATTCTTAGAAGATTAATTTTCATGCAAACACATTTGTCCATGCTCATGATGCAAAAATTCCTCCTTATGGATTCAACTTATTCTCTATAAAAGATATTATCAAGAAAGCAGATATAGAAAAATGCAAAACAAACATTGACCATTTAGTTGGTGCGCATCTAATCTTCAATTGATTTTTCATGTTAACTGATTCAACATACCACATTATTTGAGAATCTTACAGACATCATAGGCTTCCTTCAAGGGCTTGGCACCATCCGTGATCATAAAATTGGTCTTGAGAACAAGAATAGGCTGTCATTTACCATTGCTAATTAAGAGTGAGAAATTTTAATTCACTATCTTTTTCTTATTAAGCATCCTAGCTAATGAACATTTTGTCAACTCACCCTAATTTTACTCTTTTGCATAAATATAGGGAGAGGTCAATCAATGTTGTCCTGTTCGACAAGAGTACACATAATGCTTTCAATTGAAAAATGTCAAAAATGAAGCCACCTATAATTGTTGTTGTTCAACTGTGTATCGTTTGCTTCTACAAGAGTAAAATTGAAAATATTCCATTCATTATATTTACTTACATCATTATATATATATCTATCTATATATCTCTCTCTCTCTCTCTCTCTTAGTTGTTATACATCTATTATTTTATTTTTCAAATCATACAAGCTTTAACTAAGCAACTATGAAACAGCAACCCATATGCACTTTAACCCACCAATTGATATTGTTGAAAAGTTGCTAGCCATGCATTCCTCTTCTCATTCCTAAATCCTTTTGCTTCACATCCATCTACTATGATATTATTTAATGAACACATATTGTTTACAGTGCAAGAAACTTTAAAGAATTGTCTCAAACATTCTCACAAGTTGTGTCTGAAAACATAGATTATTTCAGTCCATAATGTCTTTTCACCTGTCCCATCAGAATTCTTGTCTGCAAATTGAGGGACCTTGATAGTGCAATAGTTTTAAATCTTTCAAATGTTTATGTTGTCGTGTTTTAGTTATCTTTTCACATTGATTTATACACACACACACATACTCCAAATAAAACATACAATAAGTGATATCTAATCTTCATCATATACATGTAAAAGGTGCGTGATATTGTGACAAAATGCAAGATTATGAAAGATGTATTAATATGCGTAAAAAATTTTCATGACATGATTTCAATAACTTCCAACTTCTAACACAATGGATATCAATTTTGTTTACTAATATTTTTTTAACTATTAATGATATTTTCACGTCCACAATATAAGATAATTCATTATTACAACATTTATATTCTTTAAATTAAAGATGTATATGTTCAAATAAATCTTACATATGTCTAATATGCCAATATCATTATTTTTATTCAAGTTCTTAAAGATATCTTTATTTAAAATTCATCATGCAATTATTTTTCTAATTTTTAGTTTAATATCAAACTTTAAAAAATTCCTCTTATATTTGTATGAATTCAAAATTGTGAAACACATGACATTCAATCTACATAATGATATTGACTTTTTCCAAGTGTCCTCATTTAGTTAATTTTATTATTAAAATCTCTCTAATATATGATAACATTTAAAATTAAATTAAAGAAATTTATTTCACAACTTTTCATATTTTAAGTTATAAATGAATAAAATATGAAAATGTTACAGCTGCATTTATATTTGCAAAATATTAAAAGATAGACTAACAATATTCTCGACTAACGTTTATATTGACACCATTCTTTCCTTTATAAGTTCATCCTTCAATTGTTATAATAAAATTATACTTAAATTAAGTTAATTAGTTTGCAAAAAAATCAACCATTTTTGTTAATTTTTTTTGAATAATACTTAAGTCACTGTTCTATCAATACATAATGAAATGTTGTTTGATAACAATTTCTTAATTCATTTGTATTTTTAAAAGATCATTTTAAATAAAATAACCTTCTTCTTTAATTAAAAAACCATGCAACGCATGGGGATTTAATCTAGTTAAAGTCAAATCTTCTTGTTGATGTAAAGAATTTATTAATGAGTGATTAACTAATACTTTTATAAGTGTTAGTGAGCTCATGAGACCTAATTTATTTAAATTTGTATTCATAAAAAATTCTTTTGATAAAACTACTAATTTAATTTTAAGTTTTTTTGATAAAAAATTGATTTTACGTTTTATTCCCAGTAAATAATTAAGAGCATGAATATTAATAAGGAAAATTGCATTGGCTATCACCCCATATAATCCATATAGCAGCATGAGGTACGTTTGAGAGCATATAAAGAAATGAAAATGAATAATTATTAATGGAATTAATGGAATGGATCAATGGAATGTGGTGGAGTAGAATAGAATGCAACGTTATATTATTTAAGAGTTTTATTAAAGAAATAAATAATTTTATTTAATAATTATTTTAAAATAATTATACAATTATTTAAATTGAATATAACTATATTTCTTAGTTTCATGATGAAGGAGAGTAAAATAGCGTGAGGGGTGAGAATGATGAAAGTGATTTTATAATAACATTATTTATATGATATCTTTTCATTTTCAACCCTCAAATTAAAAAATAAAAAAAATATTTAAAAAGACAAGGGATTGCTTGAAAAGTTATCCAAAGTTATTATACCTTTTTTTTTTTTAAATCTCTCAAATAATAAAACAAAGTTTATTTGTTTTTTTATTTTATTTTCATTTTCATTCTCTCAAATAATACAAGCTATTCCACCATCCATCCCACCTTATCTCATCTTTAAAAGAATTCCTAAAGATTACCATAATTTCATATGTTATGGTCATGTCCTGTTCTAAACGAAGGACCGTTCAGATAACTCTTAAAAATATATTTAAATATAAATTATATTTAAAATATATTTTTATTAAATTTAATAAATAATTATATTCTTTAAATATTTTTAACATACGTAAATTGAAAATTAAATATATATAAAGTATTCTTGAGTTTATTTGAAATGCTAGAAGTCTCTAAAACCCTCATCTCTCTTCTTTACCAGGGTTTGCTTCTGCGATTTCGTTCTGTAGGCAGTTTCTCTCTTTCTCTCTCTCCATTTCTCTGTGCTTGTGTTCGCCGTCACCGGAAGCATGTCCCTGCGAGTGCTGAACCCTAATGCCGAGGTGCTTAACAAATCGGCGGCATTGCACATGAACATCAATGCCGCCAAGGGCTTGCAGGATGTCCTCAAGACCAACCTCGGTCCCAAGGGAACCATCAAAATGTACTGCCACTGTTTTACCTTATTTTTCTCCTTCCATCCGATGCTTCTCCTTATACTTGTTTTAAGCTTACGTTATCACAATGTCTTTCTTGAATCAGGTTGGTTGGTGGGGCTGGGGACATTAAGCTCACTAAAGACGGGAACACTCTCTTGAAAGAAATGGTGAGTTCGTTAGGTATTCTCTAGGTGTTCTGTTGCTACCATAATTTCTTACTGTTTCGATCTAATACTATGAGGAAGCGGCAATATTTTGATCTGTTGTTAGTGTTTCTTATGCTCATCCCTCGAGTGCACTTGAAATTAATTTATAAATGCAAGTGCATGTTTTGGTGTTGGAGCTCTAGATGAATGATTGTTGGCCTTACAAGACATGATACGTGGTTCTTAAAGTTGTCCAATAGTAATATGCATTGGCATCTTATGGAATTTTTAGATTGTTTCTTTTCCCCTAATTTCTTTCATTTTTTATGGGTACCTAAGCGGATGGGGAACCCTCAAAAGTTAGCTGTTGAGGTGGGAGAATCAATCCACTTATATGAGTATTCCATACTACTCAATGTGAGACGTGGTATCTTATACTACCAAGTCTCCATCAATTGGCCCTCCATAGAAAGCCGACATCCTGATGGTTACACTGCACAGCATTTAGTTTGGTCTCCTTTCGATTAGAACCCTTTATAAGTAGCCTCTCCAAAACCACCGACAATGAGGCTCTGATTTTAATTGACGGGTATTAAGTGGGATGAGAAACCTACTCCAAAAGTTAGCTGTTGAAGTAGGAGAACCAACTCACTTATATACCCTATTGAGCATCCCATACTACTGAATGTGAGATTTGGTATCCCATACTACCAAATCTCCATCAATTTTGTTTTTTTGTTGAAGCAAATGAAATCATGGGAATAATTGACTTGAAGATCTGGTGGGAGTTTTTTTTTTTTTAAAAAAAACCTGTTGGTATGATATGTTCCTTGCGGTTTGATCTTGGTCTTCTCATTGATTCTTTGTAAATATTCGCTTCACTGATGTGGTGCGGAGTTGCACGCTCAACCTCTTAAGATTTTTTCAAATATTCTATGTTTATTGGATGTTTTTCTTATGTGTGGCCATCCTTTGTTGGTAGGGGTCTAAGTACTGGTAACTGGGAAGCATGTATCCTGAAACTAATGAACAACACAATTTACTGTGTTCATGACTTCATGTTTGTGTGGTATAAGGGGTTGTGTCTAATTCAAGTGTCTGACATGTCTTTACTTTATAGATTGAGAATGAAGGTGAATAGGTCTTGCTTTAAAGTTATTTGGAAGTGCGAAGTGCAAAAACTGTATTAACTTAATTTTCCTTGCAGTGACCCTTACCAAGCATGGCATAAGCTGCCACCTCTGTGGTTGTTACATGTTGCTGAATTTTTAATCCTCTATAATTATTTTCTTCATTTTTGTTACAGCAAATCCAAAACCCAACAGCAATCATGATTGCTAGGACAGCTGTTGCCCAAGATGACATTAGTGGAGACGGCACAACTTCTACTGTGATCTTTATTGGTGAACTTATGAAACAATCTGAGCGTTACATAGATGAAGGTCGGTGATCATTCACTTGTATTTCAACTGCTGAGTGGCAAAGAAGTATGGGTATTTAAGTTATAATCTAGTATTCTAGTTCAAGCTTTTCTCTCTCAATTTTGCGTCTCTATATCTGCATATCTAGCAGTTGGACTCCACCCAGGCACCTACTATGTGTCTGTTACTGCTTCTCAGGAAACACACGTATTTATCTTCAGGTTTCTTGTAGGCTTTTTTTACGTCCTGCTCAAGGTTAGGGTTTCCTGAAATTTTTAGGTCAAATGGTGTTTTTGTAAAGTGCCCTGTAATTCTTGGTCTTTCTGTGCCGACTGCTTGATAGGCAGATTTCTCGCATTCATGACGGGGGAAGATTTCAATAGATGAAAACCAGTAATCAAAAAGACATTTGATAATTAGTCTGGCTTTCATGGAAGTTTTCCTTCCCCAGTCCCGCTGTTGGATAGGAACGGCCTCAAGAATCTCTCAGTTCACAAAGTAGATGATGAACATTTTAATTTTGTCTTCTATCGCCTTGAAACATATATGAATGAGATATATGATTATTACAGGTATGCATCCACGTGTCTTGGTTGATGGTTTTGAGATTGCAAAAAGAGCAACTCTACAATTCCTTGAAAAATTCAAGACTCCTGTTGTGATGGGTGGTGAGCCTGACAAAGAGATTCTCTGTATGGTTGCAAGGACAACCCTTAGGACAAAGGTATCTTATTTTATTTTGCTTTAATGCAAAACTGATTGTACTTCAGTATTATTGACAGAGTGAACAAACAAGTAGTGGACATGCAATTTACTGAGCTCGATATTCTTTTTTTCTTTTTTATGTTCTTTTTTACAGTTATACGAGGCACTGGCTGATCAATTGACTGATGTAGTTGTTAATTCGGTGAGTATTCACGGAGATAGTGACATTTATATGCTAGTCTAATGAAACAACCTTATTTCAGTTATTGCTTCTGCTCATTGAATCAGTTGAAATTGCTTGTGTGGTACCTTTTACAAACTACAATTTGTTTTGGTTTGACTTTTCTTTTTGTATTGCAGGTTTTATGCATCCGGAAGCCTGAGGAAGCAATTGATTTGTTTATGGTGGAGATTATGCACATGAGGCACAAGTTTGATGTAGACACACGCTTGGTATGTTAAGTATAGTCATTCATTTGTACTGGGTTTTGTATTTATTTGTTGGCCATAACTTTTGACTGCCAGTTATCAGTGTTCTCATATGGTATGGAATTTAACAATGCCTAAACTTCTAGCATTGTTTAGTATGTTTAAATAAGTGATTGTGTTGCTAGAATCTCATTTACCTAGTTAGGGAGCCAAGCCAACCTCTACAAATCTTATCAGGGATTTGAACACATTATTATTGGTTGCCTATCACTTTGGATTGTCAAGAAATGACTTTTGTTGCGTCAGGGCAATTTCTAGGATTGTCAACATCAACTTCAGGCCTTGTTTCCATATGCATTTTTGCAATTGGAAACTGATTTATATGGACAAAATCGTCCCTCCATCCTGACACATTCAGAATTTAAAACCGATGAGAATGCATTTGAGACATTTACTAACAATAATGGTTCTACAACATATCCCATATTGTGATTATCATACTCAATTACTCACTCCTACAAGGTCAGGAGCCCGGGGTTGGGAGAGTAATAATGTTAACTACCTTGATTTCTGCCTTTTCTACCGATCAAGTGAGAAGTTAAAGACTATGTTACTGAAATGGTTTGCCCATTTATTGACAATGTTATGATTTTGGTTTATGGGTAGGAGAGGTTGTTAGATTAAAAAAATGCATGAGAGTTTGGAATTTTAATTATTCTGTCTGTGATGTCGTTAAATCATACTTTTCCCTGCCTTTTCTTGCTCTAGAGAAGTTTCAGAGTTGAGTCTTGTTTATCCTCTTGGTCTAAGTTTTTGTACATCCAAAAGACAACTTTTTGGAATGCATGGCTTAAGCTAAAGCTGAATGTCTGTATTTTGATGGGTGGTTGTTGTCTTTACTTGCCGCCTTCTTGTGGTGTCTGGCTTGAGGCCCCCCCTTTTTTCATTTTGAGTGTGTCTTTTAGGAATGAGAGACTAGCCACACTGCTTCCTATTAAACCTTTTTCCATTAATTTAAGCCGTGTTCTGAATTTTTTTATCTCCTTACTTTCCTAAGAATTCTTTTATCTTCTAAAGAAATAAATCCTTTGATGCGTAGAAATAATTTGGACTGGTAGGAATTAGAGAGGGATAAGGGAAAAGATGAGAGAACAGAAAGGCAGGTAGAAGCAGAGAGGAAAGAGATTGAGAAGAAGAGATTGAGAGAAATTGAGGAACGAAGGAATTCTTTTCATTCATCGCTGAGATAAAACTACAACTGAAATGCTTTAATTTATATATAGGCGCTCACACTCTCCCAACGGCTAATCACACAGCAACTGTCAACTGTCATTTAAATCTAAAACTAACATTTTATAAAACTATAACATCCTTGATATCACTCTTTTCCCCATTTCACCTGTGTCGTGTGTCCTTTAAAATTTCTCTTCAGCTCTTTGGTTCAATTGCATTTCAGCTACATCTCAATCACGTGAATGGTGTCACTTTCACATATATCTAGCTGGACTTTAATCATGTTGCATTCATTTGTTAAGTTTACTTGTTGCATACATTAAATACTCTCAATTTTTTTAATTTTAATTTAATTATACAGTTCACTCGTGTTTTTCTAGGTTGAGGGTCTTGTTCTTGATCATGGTTCCAGGCACCCTGATATGAAGCGACGTGCAGAGAATTGTTATATACTAACATGCAATGTGTCTTTGGAGTATGATAAAAGGTAAATGGAATAATCAAGATGATGTACTAACTCTTCTTTCAATTTCTTTACTGGGTGCATATGAATTATATACGTGGTACTGTTAAAATGGTAGTTGCTTGGCTCTCTTGATCATCTCATGCTTTTAATCTACACCATTATATATTATACTATTAATATTAATATTAATATTATTGAATGGTTTCTTTATCTGATTTCATCATCAAGTAACAAGTATTGTCACGTACCTTTTCCACCAGCAATTATTCTCTCTACTGACTTCTGTTTATGTTATAATGCTATGTTAAAAATAAAGAATGCAAATTGCCAAAAACAAGATAACGTAACTTGTACCAGGAAAAATAAAAAAATGAGACCCAAGGCCCTGCCAAATATGTGTATACAAATAGACATGTTTAATGATGCTGGATAGCGGATACTATGAATAAATGTGTGAAATAATGATTTTACTTCATCTGGTTCATACAATTAGTTATAGACTTTTTTCTTGTTGCTGGTTGTCACTTCTTGCTAGCTTTACTCATGTTATCTGATTTTGGTGAATGCATGATTCTCAGTTCTCTTCTGTGGAAGCAATATTGTGTAGGAGAATAGTATTGTTACTAAATATTTGCCATTTAAGTTATAGCCTGTTTGGCTAAGCTTTTTCAGGAGAAGCTGCAGCTTATTATTCAAACAAATTTAGTTTCTTGATGTATTTGGCCAAGCTGTTAGGGGAAAAAAAAAGCATCTCTTGAGCGGCAGAAGCAATTTTTCTTCTATGTAAAGGAAGCAGGAAATTGAAACCTCTTCTATCAAGCACATGCAGAAATGTATTATTTAAAAAATGAAGATATCATTATTCAGCATCATTAATTAATAGAATTAACCCAGCCTCTGTTACCTAACATCTCTGTTCATTTTCAATATGTAGTAAATGTATTTTGATATATCTGTCTTCCATGAATCATTGCCCTTTTTTCGGAGAATTTTCAATATTAGATGATGTTCTTTTTATATATTTATTATAATTATCTTAGTCAAATTTATATTTTTGTTCACATTACGACCTTTTATATATTTGTTGTGATTCTTTTATTTTGATCAAAATAAAAATGAGAAATTATATTACTAATTGTAATTACACTTGAGTGAAGTTTATAATAGATTTAAAATTATGCATTAATTCAAATAAGATTAATTGCAATTTAAAATTTATAAGGCTCCTTTTTTTATTAGTTTGGCAATAAAATGAACCTAGTTGAAACATGCGGCCAAACAAAACAATAGAAGTGATTTTGGCAAACACAAACTGTCTTTTTCATGCCTTTTTATGAAACTCTATCGGAAAATGTACAAATTCAAAATAAGCAGAAATCTCTAATGATTCTCGAATGGGTTTACTATATTTATTTAATCTGGGAAACTTTGTTGACATGAAATAAGGAAGTCTATATCTGTTGTAAGATATTCAATATTTTATCAGACTCATGAGCTTGTTACATCTTCTGGACATAGTATGTTCTTATAATAATGTTGGAACATTTTCCTGTCAGTGAAATAAATGCAGGTTTTTTCTACTCAAATGCTGAACAAAGAGAGGCCATGGTTGCAGCTGAAAGGCGCCAGGTTGATGAAAAAGTTAAAAAAATTATTGAACTGAAAAATAAGGTAGGAAAAGGATATTCTTTTATAATGATCATTAACACTTTACACTATGATAGGTGTAAGTTGTTTTATAGTGCATTATAGTAATTTTATCTATTTTTCTTCTTACACATCATGGATGCAGGTATGTTCTGGTAATGATAGCAACTTTGTTGTTATCAATCAGAAAGGAATTGATCCCCCATCACTTGACCTTCTTGCCAGGGCAGGGGTATGTTCTTTGTCTATATTATTTGTTTTATAATGTTAATATATGAAAAATTTGCACTACATTGCGTATAACTTGCTTTTAGAACATGAACATTATATAGCTGCATTCTTATTGTTCTTTATATGTGTGTTTCTTTAGATAATTGCCCTTCGGAGGGCGAAGAGAAGAAACATGGAGAGATTGATTTTGGCCTGTGGAGGAGAGGCAGTAAACTCTGTAGATGATTTGACTCCTGAATGTCTTGGTTGGGCAGGATTGGTGTATGAGCATGTCCTTGGTGAAGAAAAATATACATTTGTAGAGAATGTGAAGAATCCTCATTCATGCACAATCTTGATTAAAGGTAAATTGTAGGAATATTTTATTTTTAAAATTAGATGCTTATCTTAGTATTTTACTTAGTTTTTAAAACCGAAAGAGGTCACCCTATTTGATTGGTAAATGGGGTAGTTAGTGGGCCTACTGGTTCTGTTATTACATATCTACTGCCCTGCTAGAGGATTGGTCAACATACTGGCCTGTTCAACCAGTAAGAACTATACATGTTTCAAGATCACCAGCCTGGACAAGCTTAGTGGGATGGTGGGCTCCCTTGGGGATTTTGGGTGATGTGTATATTGGCAAAGCAAGATTTGAAACCTAGATGATATAGAATTATTGAGATGGCTTGCCCCTTCTCCAAGTGAGGATCATGGAGACTAGTAAGCTCCGTAGTTATTTCATCATCAAGTCAAACTTGAATGGATGGTTAAATTGAAGTATAATTAACAGTTATCTAAGTTAAAATTTTAATTGATCTTATCTAAATAAAAACCATAAAAAATATATGTTGGTTATTGATTGTGTACGTAGATCCGTTTGAGCTGTTTGACCAGTGAACCATGAACCTCTCTCCTAACTAGATGGATGTTAGTCTGGATTTGAAGCAGAGATTTTAGGATGATATTTTCTGTACATTGTATGTTTAATCACTTCATTTTTGTTGGATTCTTGATGAGATGATCTTCTCTGCTATTGTAATGCACAGGTCCCAATGACCATACTATTGCTCAGATTAAAGATGCAGTTCGTGATGGTTTGAGAGCAGTAAAGAATACGATAGAGGATGAATCCGTTGTCTTAGTGAGTTATTTGCATTTATGATTCAGAATTATTGCAAAAGCATCTTATGCATTTTTATGGTCTGATGCATGCTTCTGTCGTATCAAGTGGCTCCATTATTTGTCCTGATTCCGTCAATTTACAAATGAGTGTACTGCAAGACAGAATGGTTTAACCTTTGTACAGAGACCTAAATTTTAATGTGGGATGATTGTCCAGAAGGTGGACAATATTGGTTGAGAAATCTCTGTATGAATAAACATGAGATTCTGGAACTAAGTTGCGCTATAGTATAAAGGGTTATTGCTTATTACACTTCTGATCTATGGAGAGGAAGATTGATGTGGAATCTGAAGCTGGCATATTCTCAGATGAGTGAGTTATAGCGGAAAGTGGATTAGAAATAATGTTGTCATTTTATTGAGATGAAGTGAAACTAGTTCAAATGGATGAATAAATGTCACTGGAAGTGTTTTATGAGTGAAACTTGTTCAAATGGATGAATAAATGTCACCGGAAGTGTTTCTAGAAGTCAATAGCGAGTACAAGCAATACCACTCCTAGAACTGACTTTTATATCAGTGTGTTTTTTAAAATTGCTCAATTGTAATATATCCTTAATTCAGATCAATGGCGTACTCCTTTTATTGTTATGATGCTCGTGACTCGTGAGATATTGGTGCCACAACTGATGCTTACATGTGATTTTCTTGCCTGTGTTCAGGGGGCTGGTGCATTTGAAGTTGCTGCTAGGCAATATCTAGTGAATGAAGTCAAGAAAACAGTTCAAGGGGTAACAGGCATTTTTCTTCTAGCTTCCCTGTTGATCTTAAATTTTCTGTTACCTGTCCTGAGAAAGATGTTTATAAACATGAAACAGCGTGCACAACTTGGTGTTGAGGCTTTTGCTGATGCGCTTCTTGTGGTTCCCAAGACCCTTGCTGAGAATTCAGGACTTGACACACAAGATGTGATCATTGCTCTCACAGTATGCATCATCAATGCCTTAATTTCATTATGCAAATTGCTTTTTGCTAATTGCAAAACAGAATGGCATCTTTACACAATTGCTGAATGTTGTTACAGGGAGAACATGACAGAGGAAATACAGTGGGATTGAACCAACACACAGGAGAACCATTAGACCCCCAAATGGAGGGCATTTTTGACAACTACTCCGTCAAGCGCCAAATCATAAACTCTGGGTATGTCTGGACCTAAAATTACCTGACACCTGCTTTATATCTCTATGTACATGCTCACTAGGATCAGGGGAAAACGGGTCTATACTTTGCCACTAATTTAATTCGATAAGGCTCATCAATTACGTTCCTATGCCCTCCTTAGCTTTGTTTGACTTTTTCTTAATATCATGATGGGTCTGTTATCCCCAACACCTTACACTGTAATCCTCAAATTTAACTGAGGGAGGGCAATTATATTCTTATAATGGGTTGTCACATGCTTTCTTTCTTATGGTCTACAGGCCAGTTATAGCTTCTCAGTTACTATTGGTAGATGAGGTGATTAGAGCCGGACGCAACATGAGAAAGCCAACGTAAGGGGGATGCAGCAATGCTCTTTGGCCGTGAAAATGAACCGGACTGCTTTTACTCCTGTTTTATTTGCCCCCTTTTTTAATCCCATCATGGACTTTGTAATATAGATGTGTTGAGTGAATTTTGGTTCATTATACTTTTGAAATATACAAGCAATGATTTAGTAGATTATGTGGTTGTATGGTGCTTGAAGCATGTTACACATTATATCATTTTTTACTGGTTGAAACTGGATTCCATAGTCGAAGCGTACACCACATTCAAGCAGGTCATTGGTTGCATTGGGGGACGGTTAATTTCATAATGCTCTTTAGTTCTATCATTGACATTGTTGAGGTGCTTCTATTTGTTTAGTGTCCTATGAAATCTCAGGGCTATGATACCACCAACCAAAGTGTCCGTTCGGTATATGGAGGGAGGGAGAAAGGAGTGAATAAAGAGGAATGCCCATTAGATATATAATGACATTTTCAAGACCAAGATATTGCCCTCAACCAAGTCATATGCTTAGAACATCAGCAAGTATATTTAACTAACTCAGCCGTTAAAGGTTGAGCATAATATTAAATATAGATTTATACGTTACGTAAGTTATCTATATGACACGTTCTAAATTTATGGTGATCTTTCCTGCAGAGCACTTGTATTTGTCGCAGACTCTTCTGGTTCTTACTTCCAGAAGGTTGCTCCATTGAATAACCATGTAGTATCAAGTTGCAAAAAATTAAGAACGCGCTATGTGAAATTCTGCGTTATCTTAAAACTTAATAAACAAGGCCAATAACTTGTCGCTCCCCCTTGAGAGATATCCTTAGAGAGGTTCAATATTATCACTTACAAGTCAATACCATGAGTGGGGCTAACAATGTAGTTCGTGTATGAATCCACTTCTCTACAAACGTGCTCGTATATAACCTCGCAATCTTTCATTAAAATGTTTCTTATATCTTGCACGATGACGAGAGAGGAGCGATTTGTGTCATGAATGCTCATGATTCCGACGATAGCTTCCAAGCTTATAACCTAATTTGCCAACTGATTAATCTCAACCTTGACATATTAGTTTAACTTTTTTTTTTTTTTTGGGTGCTGCAGCACCGTTGTAAGGGAGCCAAGCAGGCTATTTAGTGTCAGAAGACGCAAAACATAACCTGAGCAGAGAAACTAGGATCTTGTTCTTTACTATCAAATAGCACCAAATTGAATGCGTCTGCAGTCTATAAATAGTAAATAACATTCCATATCAGAAACCTGCAAAATTCGTACAAGTTTTCTTCATTTAGTCTTATGCAACAAAGAAAAAAAAAACCCGGAAATTTGCTGTCATACTAATTTGTCCACTGAGTCAGATGATGAAGAGCTCACTCTAGATTTCTGACGAACTAGAATGCAAAGGAGGCATCCAAACATACCGATGACACGTTTTTGGCAGATGCTTTGCTGAACAATTGTAAAAACAGTTGCTCATTGATTAGGCCAATCTTCAATGAAATCAAATCTATATTCTTGCAGAGCCTTCACCACTGTTCTGCAGAATGTATTCTTTCTTCATTTCCTCTAAAACAGCATCATTAGTGCTGGGAAAATTGAACAAAAAATTTGAAAAAAGAAAAAAGAAAAAGGAGATCAGGTTCAGATCCATAGTCACCCTGAAGAATTACTCTGTTGAGGAGACAATTGATGAGAAAAAGCAGCTTCGAGAGAAACAAATATCTCATACGCTATCTTCCTGATTTTAGGATGTTGATATTGATTATTATTTCACTTTCTCGGTTGGCCAGGCCATATTTGTCTTTCTAGTATCAGTAATGCTATAATTTCCCATTTTAGGAGATCTGGTTAGTGCTGCACAAAGGACAGGGGTTGCAAAATTGGTTGAATTCCCTTGGTCAGATCTCAGGAGTGAATTGGGAGGCTTGTTGTCAGCCATATAAGATCGGAGACTGATATTGGAAAATATATCCAAAAACAATACCTTGACCGGAAGGTGGCTGTGGCATTTTCCTCGAGAAACATTTACTTTTTATGAATCAGGCCATTCAGACTATAATTTGCATCCGAATGGGTAGGATGAAAATCTTTTCATGTTTGGCTACTCATTCTAGTCCATGGAAAATTAGGTCTAAAAAATACAACTAGTGTACAACAATAAAATCAATAATCTTGATATTTTTAATCAATAGTAAGAAATAAGTAGCAATGATTGTATCCAAAAACAAAAAAGAAAAGAAAAGAAATAAGTAGCAATGACACTTAACTTGAGACCTTGATCTCATGTGCATGTCTCTGTGTGTGTAGGACTTTGAACACTTCTTTTTTCCTTACATCTTCCATAAAAACAATTATATTTATTGGCAACCGAGGCAATCAATGGATTGCTAAAATGAAGTTATGCAAGCAAATTTAGGGTCAACACTCTTATGTTGAAGCTCATGCATGCACCAAATTCATTGTTGCACGTATGAGTGTGTAAGCCGAGTTAATAGGTCCTTTCATTTGTCTTTATGTAATTTTTTGTACAAAAAGTTGTTTGAGATATGATATGTCATAGAAACTGAGAGATAAGGTACGATGGGATGGTTCCCTTAAAAAGACCAGAGGCAAAATAAGAAGAGTTATGGTTTCAATTTATTCCAACAGCTGTACAGAAAACGAAGGACCTTAAGAAATATCTCCATTCATCTCAAATCAAAACCAAAAGCATCCATACAAATAGAGAGCTAATATAGTTTTCTCAATGTGAGAAGTTTGGTCAGCTAGAACATAAATAATCATCAAGGTCAATTTGAAACGCCCCTAAATCTTGTAATTGCTGAAATAATGGCCTACCCGATTTCATTGATATATCAAACTCCGATTTCATCAATCTGGCTTCCAAAATTGGGTTTCATTTTCCAAGAACCTGTTTTTGTTGAAAGAATCAAAGCTTTAACTAAAAAGTTTAATGAACATGCAGAACAGAACTTACAATTGATGGAGACAATCGTTCAATTCTTTAGCTTGTTTACGGCATTGCCAAACAACTGAAATTGTTCTCCCAGAAGCACATTGAGCATATTTTGCAGTGTAATGATCACATTCCTTCAGCGCCTTCTGCTTCATTTTGCTGCGTAAAGCTGGTAAATTGTGGATACAGGAAATCATCAACACACTCATTAATTATGATTAATTCAATGAAATAAGCCTCCACTAGAATCAAACCAATGTGCGGTGTGATTGCATTAACACACCTTCCTATTATTCCTGGAATGAGCAGGGTAAAATATGGGAAACCCCAAACTCATGGCTCTCTCAATTCATAATTTCATAACTTTCTCAGTAACCAACCAGTGGTTTAGGGTTTAAAACAAAAACGAGATTAGTTTATACCTTCTTCTACTTTTTTCTTGACATGATTATCGCGCGCCTCTTGTACGAAACCCATTGCGCTTGAGAGAACAGTACAAGAGCTCGACGATTCAGTACTCCTTACACTGTCTGAAAAATGCGGTGCCTCTGTTGTTTCGGAAAGGAAATGAGCTGTTACTCGCAGGGGAAAGAAATTATATATATTTAAATTTTATCCAAAATATATATATATATATATATATAATTACGTATATTTTAACTAAAATGTTTTTAATTTGTTAATATCAATTATTTTTAACAACTTTATATGATTTAAGGAAAGTAGCAAAAATTGGTTTGAATTTTTAAAATCATAAGAAATTACCATTACTCTTCAAGATTATTCTTCAATTGAAATAATCTAATTTTTTTTATTCTATCATTTGGTATTATAAAAAATCAAGATGTGAACTTGAGATGCTAAAATAAATTAATTTAAATTTTTCAACCAGTTAAATTAAATATCTCTTTGGATTCTAATTTCTTTTTTATATCATCCTTTTTTACAACACAATTGAAGAATTTATGGTGCGAAAAAAAGGTTAAATATCATTTTTGCCCACCTTAACTATACGTAAAAAGTCATTAGACACCCTAAACTCAACTATAGATTAATTATATTTTTTAATTTTAAAAATTTTTTATTCCATCATCCTGCCGTTTATTCCATGTAATGGTTCCATTTTTTTATTGAAGTGTGCGCATTTGTTTGACTAGACATGTACATGTGGACGAGCTGAGAAAGACATGTGGAGATGAGTGGGCAATATGAGAAAAAAAGAAAGAAAGAAAACAACAAGCAAGGTGTAACACCCTGATTTCTAATAAAGGAATAAATTAGGAATTTGAGGGTTTAATATTGGGATTTAAAATTTAACTTGAGCAAAAAGTTTGGAATGAAAATACACTTGAGGTTCGCTTGAGGTTAATGACATGTTTAGATAACTAATTATGATTTTTATTAGGCTGAAAACATAATAGGGTAAATGTGCAGATTTGGCCACCAACTATATTTCGAGGAGCATCTGTTAGCCTAAATTGTCAGATGATGCAACATAAATCATAAACTTTTAAAAATAGAGCATCCAATAGCCCGCCGTTAACTTAAACTAATAGATGTTATGTGGGGCCCATAATGACACGTGGCACGACATAAGCGTGACACATCAGCATGATAGAGATATAAATTTAGGCACGAACTATTTTTCAAAGAGTACTGGGTAGCTTTTATTATAAAAAAATGAATTATCCAACACCTTCCCTTCAATTTTGATTAAATACCATTTATTTTCATACATATAAGGCCCATAAAGCATTAATATATCCATCTTCTTGCCTTTATTCTCAATCTCAACTCGAGAAGAAGAAGTTCAAAGAGTTCTTATTTGAAAATATTCATGAAGACGACGCTAACAAAGTAGAAGGAATAATTCATGATTAAATTAAGCAAGAATCAAGCTTTTCTCATGCATAATAAAATCAAGCTTCTACTTCATTGGCATCGTTCTTGTGAATGTCTTTAGATAAAAATTCATTGAACCTCTTTTTTTGGAGCTTATGTTGAGAATGAAGGCAAGAAGATTGGAAAAATTAATACTTTATGGGCCTTATAAGTATGAAAATAAATGATATTTGGTCAAAATTGAGAAAAAGGCATTAGATGATCTATTTTTTTATAGTAAAGGCTACCCAGCGCTCCTAGGAAAATAGTTTGTGGCTAAATTTGTACCTTTATCATGTTAAAGTGTCACGCCGTGTCGTGTCATATGTCATTGCGGGCCCTACATAATATTAGCTTAAGTTAACGGTGAGCTATTAGATGCTCCATTTTTTAAAGTTCATAATTTATTTTGCACCATCTGATAGTTTAAGCTACCAAATGCTCCTCGAAAAATAGTTTGTGACCAAATTTACTACTTTACCCAACATAATAGAAGAGTAAGATAGGGTCTAAAAGAGGTGAAAGGGCCAAATTTGGTCACAAAAGGTTAGAAATGGGCCTTTTAATGAATGGCCATGAGTAGAGGAGCACAACACAGTGTTTGTCTATGGGCGGATGAAGGGGTGGAACGTCTCATTTTAATACGGAACGTATGTGTGCAGAGAAGCTTTTGCATGTCCTATCCACAGTCGACGGGGCTATTTGTAACAGCCCTGTTTCACGTATTAGACAAAATGTGATAGGAGGAGGAAAATCTAAGGAGAGGTCTAGTGAAATTATGCCAGGGCATGATTTTTTGGCATCCTAGGGTTGGTTTTAGGCTGTGAAACTACTTGAGGTGAGTTCTTTGTCCTTCATTCTACTATTCTAACTATTATTTCAAATTAGGGTTCTTTTATAGGATATGTAATCTGAACTTTTGGTGATTTATTTTGGCTATTGATGTTATTAGGGACTTAATAAATGTTATAGAATATTTCTTCAAGGTTATAATTTGAGTTTGAGAAGTTTCGATGAAACTCTACTCCTTTGAGGTTGAATATAAGGATAAACTTGAATTATAAGGATGCCTTTTGATGTCTACTTGTTTTAATTGAGGATAGATAAAGGTTTCTAAGGTATTAAAATGATGAGTTAATGATTGAGGATGATTTTTTTTGGGAGATATTTGGGATGAATTTTGTGATTAGAGGATTAAATATTGATGATAGAAGTGATTTGAGGATTAATTAGAAATTATAAATATAAGAGAATGTTAGAAAGAATTCTTGGAAGGATTAAAATGGGCACTAATCTAAATTTAGTGCTAAGTTGGGTTAGGCCTAGACTCCTAACTCTATGATTGGGGTTAATTATTATTGTTAATTATGAAATTAATATTATATATTATTAAATGGTTGTGTAGATTTTATTGACCAAGGAAGTGGAAGAAGTGGTTTTGTAAAGGGGAATTCATTATCCTAGACACAAATAATGAATATTAATGTGTGGTAGTATGTGTGTGGTTGATTGTGTGTTTATTTTGTTGTTTGAAAAATCTTGATTTTTGGTTGGAAAATAATATATGTATATTTTTGTCAGGAGATAATTGCCAAGTGAATTGAATTTATATATATATATATATATATGAATATGTTGTGAATATTGGCAATGCTGAAAGCATGAAATAAATTGTTAGGTTGTGTTTTTGCCTTGCTGATATAATGAATGTGTCAACTGATTTTGTTTGATTGTTATAAATGAATGACTTGTCAAAGTATATTGAAAATTTTTTAATAAGGATTTTGTTCGATTGAGTTACCATATAGTAAGCCCTTATTGGACGTAATGAGTAGATATTAGCTTAGTTTGATCCACTTATGGCCAGGTGACTAGATCCCTAGCATGGTGATAAGAGGAAATAAGATGATGTCATGCATTAATTGTTTTTATCCAGTTCATTAAATACCATATGATTGAGAAATATGTTAATTTATACCCACTTAGCAATCACATAATTAACTGCCTCACATGTATTATTACATATTAATCTTGGTTATTGGAACTTTTAAATCTCATTCCTTGTGGTTAACAATTTTTACAAAAGCTAGTTTGGCCGAAAAAGCACCAGAGGTGTATATTGGTGTATGAAACACTGTCTTTTTATAATGCATCTTTATTTTGTTGATGGAATGTATATTGTGCTAACCTAAGTTGATTATTATTTTATTGAGCATATAAACTCCCTTTATAATTAATTGCATCTTTATGGCCAAGAGGATTTTGTCTATCCCTCTTGGCCCTTGACTAACTCAAAATATAGTCCCATGAGGATTCTCTCTATCTTTAATGGTCTACCACTTAATTTGAATTGATGAAATAATTAACTGTATAAACTATCAACTATTAGCATGATTCATGTTTGAAATTATTGCTAGATGCAAATGAGTTAGAGACTTGCTTAATTATCGGTGTATATTAAGAAATATATTGTTTGGGCCTTGGTGATAGATTTGATTGTTTGGAAAAATAAGTTAAAGAGAATAGTAGTTAGATTTTGAATGAATGAATTAATGATAGTTAGGTCCTTTATAAAATTTTCTACAAAAGGAATTATAAATATCAATTTAAATAGTTACAAATAAAAATTTTTGTCACAATACAAAAGTTACATTTGGATATTTAAATACTTATTTGTAGCTGAAACTTTTAAATTTGTAATAATTTGAATAGATATTTTTAAATTATTTTTCAAAAAAAGTTTGTCGGGGACTTAACTGATACTAATTCAATGTTTTAAGACCTAACTGTCACTCTCGCAATAAGTTATTCTATAAGTATACTTAGGAGCTTATTTAGAGACTTTGACAAGTTAATGGTCAAGTAGATATAATCATATATATTGTATTTGAAATAACGCCACCTTGGGATACCATACTTCTTGAATATTTATGATGTTAGAATAAATTAATATATTTTAAATATTTTCTTTCAAATGAAATCTCAATTATTATTATTTATAAAATGACATTTTTTTATGTATAATATGAAGTGATTTTTTTTCTTAATTACCATGGTAGAGTAAATTTATTACGTTTGATTTTTTTTTTCTATCATAGTAGATACTTTCTTCCACAGTAGGGTTTTAAAAGGAAGTTTTTTTTTTATTACCATGATAGATCTTTTTCTACCATAGTAAGGGTTCAATGTTATTACAATGGTTTATCAAACTATTAATTTGTGACAAATTAATTTTAAAATTTAAAGTGTTACTCGAGGCATCACATGATTGTGAAAGGGCAAAAAAAAAACCCTAGTCATCCCCTTCAATCTGCTCTCAATACCATTGTTGAGCATGAGGGAGAATTAAAGAAAGGATAGACAATATGAGTAAACAAGGATGACATATGTGAAATCTGATTGATGTGCAAAGAACTGCATTAGAAGTTAAGGTAAGGAATTTATCGGAGACTTTTAATTTAAATTTTCCATAATGAATTCTTGCATAAGCCATTAGGTTTTTGTCGGTTTTTGTTATTTAAAAGATGGGGCCCAACCATGATGAGGCATCTAATAATGGTGTTGATACTGGCATGGGTGATAATGTTGATTAACGAAAGTTTGAGTAAATTGTGTGTTAAGGAGTACATTTTGTTAATAGACAATGTGGCGAAAATGGTTGAAAAGATTTTCTCTTAAGGACTTA